CACTTTCGTGTGCTCTGGGAGGCAGTGTGCTCTGGGAGGCCCAGCGGCGGTGAGGTCCCTACGCGGATCACCTCGTTACCTCGCCGCAAACTTTGGGGGGCTTGCGATCCGGCACACTGCAGCTCTTTCGTGGCTCCTGGAGGTCAAGAGCGGAGGGTGGGTACCACGCGGGGATCACCTCAGTACCTCGCCGCCCAGCACGCCAGGTGGCGCGTATGCGCAATGTGCCCCTGTTAGGTCCTGGGGGCACAGCGGAGGTAGGTCCCACGCCGATCACCGCGGATCACCACGGTACCTCGCCGCCCCCTGGGGGGCTTACGATCTGCGCAACTGTCGACACTTTCGTGGGCTCCTGGGAGGCCCAGCGGAGGTACGTCATACGCGGATCACCACGGGACCTTGCCGCCCCTGGGGGTCTTGCGATCTGTGCATTTTTCGCCACTTTCGTTGGCTCAAGGGCTCTCGCATTGATCGCTCACAACACACACAACTCAGTTCGGCTACTGAATACTGCTGTTCTGTCTTGTCTGTTCCATCATGGCCGGTCTGGATCTTGAGAGCGAGCTTGCAAAATACATCCCAGACTCCAGAGTCCCTGTCGCGGCGGAGGCTGCGGCGTCCAGCAACACGAGGCGCCCGGGCACCCCGGTCGGCAAACTTCTCTCGAACCCGTTCGAGGAAACCCCCAAGGGCCGCGGAGTCAAAGCTCACCGCATCCACAGCCCGCTGAACGAGATGGAAGGGCTGGAGACGACAGGGACGAATCGCACGTTGGAGTTCGGGGGCACCGAGGTTTCTGGGGAGAAGGTCACCATGTTGGGGATCGCAGCCCTCCTCAAGGAACAGCTCGAGCCGGTGACTCTGGCAGTGAGTGGTCTCCGCAACGATTTCACAAAGTTGGACCACTCCGTCGTGGAGATGCGGGAGGCCATGTCGGAGCGTTTGGACACCATGGAGCAGCGTTTGAACCTGACAGACGTTCGGGTCGACAAGCTCGAGTCCTTATGCAAGACTCTGGAAGAATCTGCCGCGCCGAACATCAACGCCATGGAGTCCAAGATCTACGAGTGCATCGAGGCCTACTTGAAGAACGAGGATACGCAGCACAGTGGTAGCAATGCGTACCGGGCCACGGGCACGGACCCGCTGGACAAGAGGGCCGTGAACATGGTTATTGGAAATTTGGACGGGCTCGAGGACCTCACGAAGGCCACCGCGTGGTTGCAGGACAAGCTCTCCTACCTCAACGGCCCGGCTCCGGTGAAGGTGTACGCCAAAGGCGACTTCAAGGGCATCGTGTTCGTAGAATTCCGGTCGCCTGCACTTCGTGATCGTGCCGTGGATTTGCTCCGGAGTGCTGGCCTCACAAGCGGGGGCAAGAAAGTGTGGGCGTCGCAAGACCGCTCGCTACCGGAGAGGGCGGCGCGCAACTTCTGCCTCGGCCTGAAGCGTGTGCTGAAGGAGGAGTGGGAGGTGCCGTACACGATCTCTGTCAGTGACGAGTCGCCGCACATCGTCGAGGTAGGGGGCGAACACGCGCTGACGGCGACAGTGGTGAACAGCACGGTTCAGTACGACTGGCAGGGGGAGTGGAAGACGTGGACTGAGCTCCACGATCACCCTATGATCAAGGAGTTGGCCGTGAAATCGACGGAGCTGTTGGCGAAAGCGGCGAAGGGCATGAAAGGCACCAAGGGCGGAGGCACGGCGACCAAGGGGGGCGCGAAGGGCCACCGCGCCTAGCAAACACAGCACATGAGCAGAGTTTCACCCATAGTTTCACCCGCTGGTGGAGGTGGCGCCCCTACACCTGCTATTAACGATTTTGTTCACTCCCGAATTCAACATTGCATTGACGATATGATTTCACCTGCAGTCGGCCCTACTGCAGAGGCAGCGCCGTTATCCCGAGCAGAGCGTGCAGAGGAGTTCCGCGGCGGACGCCTTCGGCCTTGCCACCGGCAGCTCCGCGCTGGCACGTGGAATGTGGAGGGGCTCACGGAGGCAAAGTTTACGGAGCTGGAGTGGCACATGGTGTCCTTGGACATTGATGTGCTGTGCATCCAAGAGACGCATAAACCAGCTTCGGAGTATTATGTAAGAGAGACGGGGTATCTGGTCATTTTGTCCGGCTCTCCCAACCCAGACGACAAGGAGACGGCCGGCGTGGGCTTCATCGTCTCCCCGAGGCTCCGTTCAAGCATCGTGGGCTTCCGGCAGGAAAATGCACGCATGGCTTATCTGAAGATGCGGGTGCGTGGGGGCAAGGCGGTGGTCTGCAGCGCTTACGCCCCGCACAGCGGGAAGTGCTTCGAAGACCGGCAGCAATATTATTCTGACTTGGGGGAGTTTCATGTTTCTTCGCAGTGCACGGGCCGGTCATAGGTGTTTACCGGCGATTTCTGACCGAGGCTGCACCTGTCGTTTCCCACAGGAAGAGGACGACCTTTTGTGTTTTGTTTTTTTTTTTGTTTTTTTTTTATTTTTTTGGTTGTGAGTG